TTATTGCTAATAATTTAATTGCGTAATTAACACTATGTAGTTATTAAATTCATGGAATTGAAACTCATTTCATGCTAGCTTGAATTGATCTCATATATTGATAATGTTGTAGTAACTTGAATTGATATTCATTGTGGACTTGACATTGAGTAAACCATCATAGCTTAGGGACTTAGGGCATGACTTGTGTGAATCTCTATGTGGTTTGTGTATGGAAGGTGGTTTAATACATTTTTACTTATGTGTATAAGTTGTGCATTGATTGTTGATTTTGGAAACTTGGGGCGTTGACCTTGTGACATAACTAGAGTATGACTCTAGTGCGGGAGGTATGAGTTCTCCCCATGTAGTGCGCACTTAGGTGGTTCCTAGCGGGTTAGTGCCCAAAATACCTTCATCGCGTGGTTTGATCCACGAAGGCAACCGAGTATTTTATTTGTTTGATTTCGCTTTCATTTACAAGTTGATATAACTTAGGGTTTGTAACTTGTTGTATCTAATGGAGTATTACCATTGAAATAGATTGTTTATCAATTTTGCATTGCTTTTAAATTGTTTCAATTATAGCTTAGGATGATTCCTTAGCTCTCCCGTTGAACATAGACGTTAGGAAGCATGAACCACATGTATTGATTTATATTACGTTGCAAAGGTTCGTCGAAACTTTATGGTATACACATATGCTTCTTCCTACGAGTAACTTTGGTTGCTCACCTTAGATGATTGGGTTATTTTTCAGGTAAGGAGACATTGTTTTAGGATGCACAACATTCCTAGGTTTGTTTGGTAATTTGGAGTACTTTTGACGTATATTGTATTCATGCACGTGTTAGTATGTTTAACTTTCTCTTAAAGTTGTAATGTATAACTTATATGGAAGCATAACTTGCTTCCACTTTTGGGCATGTTATGTGAACTTAAATAACTCTTTTTTGATGTACTGGTATCACATAATGAGGCCAAGGGCCAACCACTTGAATGTATGCAAAGTAGGGCTTTTGTTTCAAATGTTCATTTTGATGTCATAGTTACTATTCATGGCATTTTTTTTTAGAACCGTGCTGACTGTTTCGGGACTTCCGGGGGTCTATAGAGTGTAATTGTATACAGCATTATCAATTCAGGCCTTAGGAAAACCTCCCGAAGCCCTATTTCTATTTCTTTGGCAATAATTCGGCATGTTTTAAATTCTCTTGACCTGATTTATTTAGGGGGCATTTTTGGCATTCTAGGTTGTATAGTACTTTTAGTTTGAACCATGGTTAATAAGAAAACATGATTTTAGGGAGGGTTACTTCACAACTTTTTTTCAAAAAAATCCATTTAAGTCATCAAATCGCAGCATTTCCAAAACAGACCTGGGAATATGCCATTTTCCGTTTTTATTTCAAAATTTCGAGGTTTCATAACTCTTTCATCCGGACTTCAAATCAGGCGATTCTTGAGTCTAATTTTATTAATTTTTCGTTGTTCTTCCAATGGTTTGCACAATAGTACTTATTGCTATTTTGAAAAGACCATTTTACCTCTGGGGTTGTACTCACTCGTTTTTAAAACTTCGTTTCCGCTTTTATTCTTTTGAGTTCCGTAGCTTTATGGGAAGTCACTTTGGCGTCTTAGGGATGACGTGTATCTCTAGAGACCTTGGTTTTATCATTTGCTTTCGCATTCTGGATCCGTTATCGGGTCAACTTTTGGATCTTCACAGATGTACCGGGTTTGTAAAAACTTAGGCCATTAGAGTTTCTTTATGCTAACTGACTTACTTCTGATTCCTAAGTTCTTTTTAGAGTCACTAGCCAAAAAATCCTTATAGCATGCATATAGAATGTATAACTCCTTATACGTTCTAAATAGTCCCTAACATTGAATTTTGGAGCAAACAAGGACCTAAATGTTGAAAAGACTAAAGTGTCCCTTTATAACTGGATAAAAAAAATAAGTAAAAAAACTAATTAAATATGAAATAACTAAACTGTCCCTCTTTTTATATATATAATATAGGGTTGCGAGCAAAAAACACCATTATGATATGCATATAGAGTATATAACCCCCCATACGTTTTAAATGTCTCATTAACATTCAATTTTGGTGCAAACAAGGATCTGAATACTGAAAATATTAAATTATCCCTCTACAACTGAATAAAAAATAGGTACACAAATTAATTAAATGTGACAGGTGTATATATTTAAATAAATAAATAAATATATATACAAGGACATTATCGAAAGAGATAATGGTATTTTTAAAATTTTATATCTTAAAAATGTCATGTGCAATACATTATGAATAAATTTTTAACGAAACAATTACATCAATCCCTTATTTGTCACATTTTTTCAAACTTAACGGACTTATATACTCAAAATAAAGAATATAGGTGTTAGTTGCCTAAAATGTAAACATTATAGGTGTTTTTCTCACTTTATCCTAATAAGGGCATTATAGGAAGAGATAAGGGTATTTTCAGAATTTTATATCTTAACAGTGACTTAAAGCCATTTTTTTGATCATTTTTCAAACTTAACGGACTTATATACACAACATAAGTCCTTCTTTACTCAATTTTTAAAACTTAATGGAGTTAAATATCCAAAATAAACTATAGGGGTATTATTTGCCCAAAATTAAAACATTAAGGATGCTTTTCTTACTTTGCCTTTCTTTTTATTAGCTTGGTGGTGCTATGTACAGTTGCACACACAATAACGTGGTAGTAATGTTAATTATGTGCAAGTTTTTCTCCCCAAAGTAGTTTTGCTGTAAGATACTCGATTATGTTACAAGTAATTACAACACAATCATACCCCAAACTGTTTTTGGCAAATTATCAATAATTCCTACTCTTTTTTTTTTTTTTTCTTTACCTTTTTTTCTTTGTAAAAATCAATAAGTCTAATAAAGTTTTGATAATAAGTTCAAACAAACGCAACTTAACCTCCATTGCTAAGACTTCAAGCTTAGGTAAGTATTCGGTACTCATATACACATTTATATTTGTTCATTGTGGGACTTGAACCTCTCACCTTCCCTTTGAGGGAGAAGAGGTTATATAAATTAGATTAAGTTTTGAATATCTCACTATTTCATTTATACCCTTCTTAAATTAGAGTTAGATTTTTGTAAGGAAAAAGATTAACTTACTTATAGGCAGTTGTTCTCTACTGATGTGACAATTAATGAGAGAGACATTCTTGAAGAGGAAGAGTGTATTCTCAATTCTCATCCTTGTTGAACACTGCTTATTAAAGTTGCACAAAATCATGATATGTAGCATTACTCATTTTCTAAGCAATTGAAATTTTCTCAATTACAAATTTTAATTGTTAAATAAGTAGTCAATATATATATATATATATATATATATATATATATATATATATATATAACTAAACTAACCTCATCACCTTCGTGGGAGGGTATAAAATAACCTCCCCACTTTCTCCATATGTTTGTCCCCATTTTTTGTTGGACCAAAAGAGGCTCATTAGAAGCTTCAACCACGAACGGAGCCAGAATTTTTATTCAGGGGACACATTGTACACTAAATACATATAAATTAGTGTTTATGGAGTATATATACATAAAGAGAAATAGGTGGATATATATAGAGATTGATATTTTTGGAATTAGGTAAATTAATAAATTACATATATAGAATATAATGAAACAATTTAAGAAAAAAAAAAATTAAGAAAACATATAGAGTATACAAGGGAAGGAAAAATTTGAAGGGGATATATATAAAATAAGGGAAGGAAAAAATCCAGGCCCCCGGGTCCTATACTGGCTTCAACATCTTTAAAAACTTGACATTTATGTAATTTCAAGAACCTAACCTCCCCAGAAATCCGACATAGACATAAACTGCTGTTGTGGTTATGCAATCACTAGGATGGAAAGTGGTTCCCATATCCAACAACTAATAATTTAGTCTGTGTTAGGGAAAATTTTAGTGGAGATTGGTCTTAAAATTTGTCTAATGAGTTACTCTTTACACAATGATTTTCAGTTGAACTTGGTTAATGACCGGTAGCCTCTTTACAAGGGTCGCGATACCAAGTCAAGCTTGAAGAGTTATGAATTTAGGAGGTGGCCAAGTTTTACATTTATAGAAAGCCACTACTACCTTTCTCTATATAAAATATAGATAGGGCGAGTAGGGATCGTCCCAAGGGATTTGATGGTGTATCGAATTGTGAAACTATGGTAATTAGGGTTAGTAGGTCGAGTGATCACACAATTAATTGGTTGGTTGATTAAACTAAATTGAATTCAACTAAATAAAATAATATGAAGTAAACAAGAGAGAGAGAGGTCTTGGGGTGTAGAGATCACCACCAAGCAATACTTTTCTATACTACTAACAAGTGATCAATTGAGGGTAATGGATGTGTTGCAATATGATAAGGGTGTGTGTGCATTAGGTTGATTCAATTGGCAATGATGACAAATCAAGCAAGTATTGTCTAAACATCATGTGAAGAGCACAATATATCTAAACAATAGAGCATATATTGTCTAGACAACATGGGGATAGCACAATAGATCAAAACAAGTCATTAATCCTTCATTAAGCTCACAATCCACATACAACACAATATTAGAGGAATATGCCATTTGGACTCACAAGCATGGAACATCAAACATCAAGAGTATATTGTCCTCCCATCTAACATTATACTACCACTACACTAAATCTACACTACTAGCATGAAAATAAAGCTATCTAGACTAGGGGAGAGGCACAAACCATCAAGAATAGGCATAAACCATCAAATGAACCAAAATAGCATTCATTAAGCACATCATCTTGATAATCTCTAGATCTATAGCATCAATACACATAGACATGCATCAAAAACACTAAATCTAGGGATAAACACATGAATATCCTACTCTAGCATACATAGACATATGGATAGAATAGAATAGTCAATTGGAAGCATTAAACCATACAAACCATGAAATAATCAAAATTTATATATACATGAATATCAAGATGTATCATACAACACTAATCCCTCAATAATACACAAGATTAGAGTATATAAAGCATGCTTGGGGCTAACTCTAGCCCCAAGAGGATGTCTAGCCACTCATGGTAGTGATGATCCAACCCTCAAGGGCTAACTCCATGGCTGCTCCTTGTTGGTGAAGATCTCCTCCAATGGTTACTCTAGCTTCCTCCCTTCTTCCTCTCCAAGAATAGCCTCCAAGATGATTTTCAATGTGTGACAAGGGACTTTTTCAAAAAGTGTATCATATTCCTTATATAGGTAGGTCAAATACACTCCATGATGAGCTGTGGTCGTGCAAGGCATATTCTCCAATGATTGGATGAAGGACGGAATAAATGAATTGGACTTTAACTTTTTCTCGCTGGAGGAAGTTCGATCGATCGAACCTTAACTTGGATCGATCGAAAATGGGTTCGATCGATCGAACTGCATCTTGGATCGATCGAAGTGGTCTGACTCCTCCGGATAATGACAAGGCTGGGATATTTTCAAGATATTTATGGGGAAAAAGACAAAAGTGGTTGGTAGGCGTACAGCTGTGGATAAGATCAATCATTTGAATAGGACAACATAGGGTTCGATCGATCGAAGGTGATGTTCGATCGATCGAACTTGGAATTTCAGCAAAAGCCAAGGTTGGATCTATTGAGAAGTACTGTGATCGATCATAGATGTTCGATCGATCGAACTCTAAGTTGGATCGATCGAACTTTTCAGCTGCACAACTTGATTCCTTTTTGCTCATTTCTTTCTCCACTTTGCTCCCTCCTTTGGTTTATCTCAGGATTGCTTCAATTAAGCTCTTATTTGGCTGAGTTAGCTCAATTTTGAGATTAGTGCCTGAAAATATAAATAACACGTAATAAGTCTAAAACGGCAAAGTACGATAGATAAAGGTCCTAGAATGCTTAAGCTTAACGGGTTTAAATGCGCACTTTTCAGTGCTCATCAGTTAATAAAATTTATGTGTGTAAAACTAATGACAAGAAAAAGAACTTAAGAAATAAAGAATACTAGATCAGGATAACAAACAGTACTGAAACAACCGATTACCCGACCAACCAAAAAAAGCCAAACAGAAAAATTGAAATATAAGCTCTGTTTGTTTCAAAGTAAATATTTTCTTCAGAATTCCTTTTTTTCTTTTCCAAGTAAAATATTTTCTTTATCTTCTTATTTCCATCCATTGCTAGGATCATACTTCAAATGTAGTGAGCTCTCACGTCTCCATCTTATTGGCAAAATATTTATCAGGGAGTCGAAAACAATTTTTGGAAACGAGTACTCGAATGGCATGCCTACACAAGATTCCTAAGAACTCGAATTGTTTACATGTACAAAAGATGTCATCACTTGATGCCATCCACTGCATAATTCGTCCTCCATCTGTCTTTGTGAAATGACGCACCACATAGGATCCATCACCTTTCTCAATCATTGCATACTGATATGACAATGCAATTTCCTTTTGTAACAGCTCAGATCTATATGGCGTAAGAACAGTTGAAGCATGTTCTTGAATGGGCATAAGTGTCGTGTAAACTATAATTTATTCGTGCAAACTATTCATCATAAATAAATATGAATCCGAAATCTTAGAACTTCATTATTCTCACATTCCTATAATGTATAAATAAATATAGTTAGATATAAATACCTCGATATATGATTGCAAATATCGTGCAGATCAAGTTCAACGTCGAGATCCTTTATGCGAAATGAACAATGTGATAAACTGTAATAGCCAAAATGTGGAAATCGATTTATCTCTCTTGGCCTTGTGCACACATAAACATTATACGTATTGTTTTTTATTAGCATACATAATTAATGGGATATATGCAATTTTATAAAGACAGAGAGATGACAAGTTTTCCTTTTAGTAATTTTGATTCCACTTTCCATCAAAGTAAGAAATAAATAGGAAAATATTTCTCCAATAATTAATTACCAAAAAGATAATTTATAGGTTGATCAAATAATATAATATTAATCTGATATCTATTTACTTAACCACTAACAATTAATAAATAATCGTACATTCTCCAACTTAGCTCATATAATAATTTCTATAGTAGTTTAGTAAATTAGTCATTAATGTGCACTATAAATCAGATTGAGTCCTTAAGTTAGTTATTTTAAATATCTTGGTAAATAAATTACCAATGCGAGTCATGGCGGTTATATGTCCCTAAATGACACAATCCCTTCTATGTACCACAACACTAGTAACCTATTCAACATAGTCTATAAATGAGAAATATCAATAATGATCAAACAATAATGTCTTTTCCAAGACTATTCCTATTACCATTTATTAAAGTAATACGTACATGTACATTAATTAATAGGAAATATCATAAATATATTTAATCAGCGCAAAATATCAAATACATATAAGCACTGTTAAGCAATCCACAATTAAAAAATAATCATTATTGACTACATTCAAGACACATTATTTCAACATGTTCCATAAATGTCTTGGGTGATAGTCCATTCATTAATGGATTGCAATCAAAAGTTGTGTGCTTATATGTTCAATAGACATTCGTTATTTCTAAACATCTTCTTTAATGATAAAGTATTTCAACTTTAGAATACCTATCATTTTTCATACAAGAAGATCAACAATTGCAACATAAATTTTCAATAATCTGAAAATGGTACCCATACCTTCTAGTCCTGAAATAAATTCTGCAACCATAAATTATAGACTCAAAACATGTTACAAATTAAAAATTCATAATATATAAAATAATAATAAATTACTTTACACTTTTTCATAATATTGTTCCTCCAGCCAAAAGGAACAAATAACTAATTGTGAATTAATAATTATCCACATATTCATAAAAATGTCTTCCTAAGTGTGAGCATATAATCTTTTATCCCCTACCAACTTATACATACATCAAACTCCACAATATATGCATAAGAAATATTTTTCGTTTATTTACCTTCAAGCTAACTCGTTCTTTGGGATTGCATTAGGCTGAATTTATTCGCTTTTTGGTATGGAGTAATACTGGTTGAACAATGTTTAATATCAAATCTTTCTAGAACTTTTTTAATATATGCTTTCTGAGACAATTCAAAAAATTCACGTGGTCTATTCCTATCACGTAAGATACCTCATCTATATATTTCATTTCAAAGTTCTTAGAGATAACTTCTAATTTCATATAATAAACTATGATTACTACTACCAAACAAAAGATCATCAATATATATAAAATCAGAAATATAAACTTATTCCCACTAACCTTATAGTATATATACTGATCAACAGTGTTTTACTTAAAACCAAAAGAAATAATGGTATCATTAAACTTAATATACCATTGTCAGGAAGTGTGTTTAAGTTCATACATTGACATCTTAAGTTTACAGATAATGTATTCTTTACTCTCTAATGTAAAACCTTCAGGTTGTTCTATATAAACTTCCTCTTTTTAAACTCCCATTCAGAAAATCAATCAAAATCAAATTCTTGCAGATATATCACATAGTCATCCGGAATAGCAGCTCTCCTTTTTGAGATCGTATTCCTTGTGGTTCTTTTACAATCTATTCATTGATGACAATCTCATCATGGAGTTGTTGATCATTTAATTATTCTTCGTTGTTATACGGTTTAACAATTGAATGAATAATTATTTCTTTAGAAGTTATAGGTAAAGAGATTTGTACCATAACTTCTGGAATGATCACATTCTTATTTTTATCACTCCCATTGATTTCATCATTCTCAATGAATTTGACATTGCCGGTTTAAATAATTATCGTACTATGTTTAGGATAGTTAAATTTATACCCTTTAGATTACTTAACATCCACAACATTATGGGTAACGAAGAATTACCTAACATACTCCTAACCATATGCATAAGAGTACGATTACGCCTTTCAGCTATACGTTTTTATTGTGGCATGCCTGGCATAGTGTATTGAGCACAAATGTCATGCATTTCAAGGAGTTTAGCAAACAGTTAAAGTATTAACCCGTTTCATCATACTTTCCATAATATTCACCATCTCTATATGACCTTGTGATTTTTACTTTTCTATTTAGTTGTTTTTCAACCTCATTTATGTATACTTCAAGATTACCCATTGCTTGAGATTTTTCATGCAATAAATAGATATATCCTTAACGTGGAAAAATCAACTATAAATGTGATAAAATACTTTTCTCCACCAAAAGATGGAACATCAAAAGGTCTAAATATGTCTATATGAATAATTTCAAGAAACTTTGTACTTCTTGTCGCTCATTTCTTTGTATATTTGGTTTGTTTACCCTTAATACAATGTACACACATCAAAATCAGTAAAGTTTAGATACAGAAAAATCACATCTTTTACTAATTTTCCTAACCTTTCACTGAATATTATCCAGTCTTTTATGCCACAAGATAAATGAATTTTCATTAATTGAGTTACGTTTAATTCTAACATTATGATGCAAGGTCAAAAGGGTTTCAATAAATAAACTATCAAGTTTGAATTTATAGAAATCATCAATAATAATACCATAACTCATAATTAGAATTTCTTGAATAAACATCATTATCAAACTTAAAGGAAAAATCATTAATATAAAGTTTTGAAATAAAATCAAATTGAGAAAAATTGAAAAAATATAAAGAGTTTAAAACAATTTAAATAAAATCAATTGTCTAAAACTAAACAAAATGTCTCAATGGTTTCAAAATGGTTTCAACAAATTTTTTTCTCGATTCTCATAAATAAGAAATTCTCATTTGAATTTGTGGTTTAGGCCATAAGAAATCCTTACATCTATTAGAAACATAAACATTAGTACTTAAGTAAATATATCATGTACTAGAAAGAATATCAATAAGTGATTCGAAATATACAAAAGTTAGAAGATTTATCTTTCTCTTCAAATTATTTTTTATATTTCATGTAATCTTTTTAAAAGTGTTCAATACATAGATGACACTTTTACATTATTACATTCCTTTCCTTTAGTAGATTGATCTAAATCTTTTAATTTTGGAGGTTGCTCACTTAATGCCTTTTCAGACTTATTCCCAAATTTCTTTCTAACTTCTTGGGTCATGAGATAAACATAATGATTACCTGCTGCTTAAGCCTGGTCTCCTCCTAAATTAACATAGTGGTCAATTCTTTCACTTTTCACTTGTCTTAATAGTATTAATTCGAAATGACCCATATTGAGTAGACAAAAAATTGAGAATAAATTTAATACAAAAATTCTCATCCATAATCATCCACAAAGTTCTCAATTTTGTACCAACATTAGTCATCTCAAAATTATGTTCATACATGGTACGAGTACCAACACAAATGCATAGTTGTGATATCAATTAATAATTTTCGTTTTAGATATTTATCTATAATACGAAAATATTCTTATAGTCAAATATTCCTTAGCATTATCACTATGGGAAACAATAATTCGCATAACCATAATACTTAACTTACTCATTCCATTATGAGAAGTTAGTCCTATTGAGAATTAAAACAGATGTAGAATGCGAATTAAGTGTAACAAAGAAACATAATAAGATAAAATACTCACAACAATAATATTTTGAGTTAACAACACATATGTATAACTTAAAAATATAAATACAATGTATAACTATAGTACCCCATTGGGTGACAACTATAAAATACTAATAATGATACTTAAATGTATTTATATATATATATATCTTCATTGGTGATACATTATTTAATTAAACAAATAAGTTACCTTAGATATCCTATATCTACCTAATTAAGAAAATACATACAACCTCTTAATTTTTATTTAATCTCTTTAAAATCAATTCCCTTTGAAAAATTATTCTCATAATTAAATAAAGTCAATATTCATGAATACCATAAAAAATCATAAATATCATAATTAATGAAATATTGCAATTATGTCTACTACTAAAATTAATATCTAACAACCATTATGGTTAGGCCACTTTGGTAGCTACCAACCTTTACATAATATGAATATTAAATTAGCTAGTGACTAGTTCATCTTTAATTATATTTACTACTAAAATTAATATTCATCAATTATTATTGTTAGGCCACTTTGGTAGCTATTAATCCTTATAAACATGAATATTAAATTAGCTAGTTATTAATTCATTATTAATTTACCCATTTAACATTATGGACGCATACTCAAACTGATCGATCCAATTTTAAGTAGGTTCGATCCCAGAAATTTAATAGTCAAAAAAATTCAATAAAAATATCCTTTTATTTTATATACATAATAAAATATATTATTTTTATTTTCAGACTTGAAGATCATAATTGAATCAATTTAAAATTGACTCTCCATCATGTATATATGTATGACTCCAAAAATAATAAAATAAATAAATACACAAACTTTATGTATTTAATAATTTAAATTTCTAGACTCACAAATTATTTTAGAAATTTAAATTTCTTTAATAAAATAAATAAATACACAAACTTTATGTATTTAATAATTTATATCTTCCAATCACAGTAAATTTCTTTAAAAAACATAATAGTCAAAAATTTATTAAAAGCTTTTCAATCCCATATGTTGTGCACAAAAATCAAGAACCAAACACATCATTATTTAACTTGATTGCCTATATCAACATACATGAAACATAATAAGCCCACAGCATATTCATATGTACGGCAATTCTCTAACAATACCACAAGATGAATCAAAACAAAATTTTCATATGTATCCATATGTATGCTGATTAGTGGGCACTTGAGATATATTTAAGTTCCAAGTGAAGTTCACTTTCACCCAAATCAAATTTGTTTGGTGCCGCACAAACAGATTAACATTATAGTAGTAAAATACACTATTATTTTTTCTTTCGAATAACATATCAAAGTTTTTAAATACCCATTACACTAATCAAAATCACACCAATCAAAACATACATACATACATACATACATACATATATATATATATATATATATATATATATATGTCGATTCTATAAGAAAATTAAATTATACAAATATTTAATTTTACTTTATATTTACACATTATTTCTATAGAGGAAAATAATGAGTTCCTAAATTGTAAACTCTGATACCATATGTAAACTATAATTTATTCGTGTAAACTATTCATCACAAATAAACATGAATCCCAAATTTTAGAACTTCATTATTCTCACATACCTATAATGCATAAATAAATATAGTTAGATATAAATACTTCAATCTGTGATTGCAAATATCGTAGAGATCAAGTCCACGTCGAGATCCTTTTTATGGAACGAACAACGTGATAAACTGCAATAGCCAAAACGTGAAAACCGATTTCTCTCTCTTGATCTTTTGCACACATAAACATTATACGTATTATTTTTCATTAACGTACATAATTGATGGGATATATGTACTTTTATAAAGGCAAATAGAGGACAAGTTTTCCTTTTAGTAACTTTAATTCCACTTTCTATCAAAATAAGGAATACATAGGAAAACACTTCTCCAATAATTAATTACCAAAAAGGTAATTTTTAGGTTGACCAAATAATATAATATTAATCTGATATCTATTTACTTAATCACTAATTAATGAAATATATCATATATCCAAATCATGTGGGCCACATAATTAATAAATAATCTTACATGTTGTGGGTTTCGATACTTCTCTTGTGCCGTTGCTTCCTCTCCAACCTGATTCCAAATACTGGTAGCCACCCTCGCCTACAAAGGTTAAATAAGCAATTTATTAAATCTACTAAGTTAAAATATTGTAAAAGAAAAATACTTATTTGATGTACCTGCTCAACAAAGTTTTCACATTTGAAAATCTTTTCAAATATGAATTGATCGACTCTGAACGTTCCATTGTCGACATTTCGGTAAAAAAGAAATCTCTCAGATAGGGTAGTGCCCAATATGAGTGTAAAGAATAAAGTAAAGCAATATGTTCATCTGAATCCAGCCCAAATTGAGATACCATGTGATGCGATTGACATTTAAATTCTTCAATTGACTCTAATTGATATAATTTATGAACATGACGCTCAAATTCATTGTATTTTTGTGATGACCTTATGGGCGGGTGTACCGTAGGCAGGTGCGAGACACTGGTAGGCTACCACACTGGCAAGCTATAAGTGCACAATTCCACATCGTCTGGGTAAGGGAAAGGTAAAGTGTTTATATGTAGGTGTGTCACTCCAATTGGTATGAGGTCTTTTGGGGTAAAGCTCAAGAGCAAAACCGTGCAGGCTCAGGCCCAAAGCAAAACCGTTTTGGACCTGAGCCTGTACGATTTTGCTCTTGGGCTTTACCCCAAAAAGCCTTATACCAATTAGAGTGAGTCGTTACAAATGATATCAGAGCCTGACCCAGCCGAAAGTGTGCCGACGGGGACGTCGGGCCTCCAAGGGGGGTGGATTGTGATAACCCTGTGGGCAGATGTGCCGTAGGTGGGTTCGAGACACTGGCAGACTACCACACTGGCGAGCTACAGGTGCACAATCCCACATCGTCTGGGTAAGGGAAAGGTGAAGTGCTTATATGTAGGTGTGTCACTCCAATTGATATGAGGCCTTTTGAGGTAAAGCCCAAGAGCAAAACCATGCGGGCTCAGGCCAAAGCGGATAATATCATACCATGTGGTGGAGTGGGTCGTTACAAATAAAAATAAATCAATTAATAATGCTGCACCCATGACTTGAACCTAAGACCTCAAGCATAAATCTTAAGCACACCGGCAAGTTACGGGTGCACAATCCTATATCGTCTGGGTAAGGGAAAGGTGAAGTGCTAATATGTAAGTGCGTCACTGCAATTGGTATGAAGCTTTTTGGGATAAAACTCAAAAACAAAACAGTGCAGGTTCAGATCCAAAGTGGATAATATCATATCATGTGATGGAGTGGGTTGTTATAATTTTGGTCCTAGTTGAAGAGAAAACCAAGTAGACAATTTAGACACTATATGCCATAAACAAAAAGCATTTTTTGTATTAGGCAATTTAATAGATATGGCTTCTTTCAATGCCAAGTCTTGATCTGTTAAAATAGTTATGGGGCATTTTCCATTCATGAACAATTAAAAACAATGCAACATAAGAAGAACCAAAAAAACAGAAAAGAAAAGAAAGAACATAATTTATGATTAGGTCATACCTGTAAAGCCCACACAAAAGCACTGGTATTCTCATCTCGTCTTAGAACACAACCGAAGAATTTGAAATTACCATGATTGTTCACACCAACCCAAACTCCAAGTGAAATGTCATAGATCAGTGATATCAAATACAACTATATCACCAAACTCCCTATACGCGCGCATTGAATCACCAAATGACCATGCAATATGTTCAAGTTTGTTATTTTCATCAATTGTAAAATCATAGCAAAAGTCAGCTTCTTGATCTTTCAAGGTCTTGCAGATCATAAGAAGTTCTGAAGCATCATTTTCTCGACCAATGCTCTTATAATTTTGAATGAAATTTTTTACATCCTACTCCATAAATGGTAAATGTCCAGGCTCCACACCTTTTTTTTCCAATTCCAACACTCTCATTATAAGATTCACTGTACATCCAGCTTTAAAAAGAAGCAAGATACGATTTTCATAATCTATTTGAAAGTTACGATATGCTGGTAGAAATCATAACCCATTCTTTAATAATAATTTGTAGTTAAGACCCTTTGTGAATTTTGAGATTCTCCATTTAGTGGTGCCATCAATGACGTCCTTTGCTACTAACTTTCTTGCCTCACATCCTCATCGAGTTGATCTTCGATTACTTTGTCGCTCAATATCAATTACTTTCTGCGGTCGGGGAACACCAGCACGATGGCAGCCAGATTCTCTTCTATAAAATCCCGTGGGATGCTCTTTACTCCCCAAAGAGCATTCGCATCTAATTGAAAATCCAGTATTCTTCGCAAAATGGAAATAATATTGATATGCGTCTTCATCAGTTTCAAATACTTGTCCTTCATGTGGAGGGGCAGGAGTAGCTTCAGCCTCTAATGTTGGGTTTTTTGTTTCTTGTGCAAGGGCACTTATAGCGTCTTCCTCAGTAAACACCTCAATCCTAATGCCTCTTCACTTTCCATCAGTATTTTTTGTGAAAGAGCACTAATAGCAACCGAAAACCTCCAACTGAAAACCCAACTGAGAAACTAATTGAAAAATCTGTTAATGAGATTCCATCCAACTAATTATGTACCCACTGCACCATCCAACTAATTATGTACCCACTGCAGCATTTTATCAAACACATGGGTGGCAAGTCAAAAAAAGAGATATGTATATCTACTCAACTGTAGCAATTGAAAATTCCAACTGAGAAACACATTGAAATCTGTTTAATGAGATTCCATCCAACTAATTATGTACCCACGGCAGCATTTTATCAAACACACGGGTGGCAAGTCAAAAATAGAGACCTATCTATCTACTCACCTCTCTATATAGATCTTAAATTTACAGTCAATCTAGGGCCACCCAAAACAGTATAATCGTCGCTTGTTAGAGAAGATTAAGCATCCGAGAAGGAGAAGAAAAGCTTTCACTTGTTACCGAAGGAGATACCGACTTCGTTTCTCTTTGAAGTTTCCCTCGTTATATTCATTATTTTATAATCAGATCACTTTTTAAGCAAAATGACAAGAAATGCCCTTGATTTGTTTCAAGACATTTAAGAGAGACAGAAAAAATAAGCACCTCAAATCTTGGAAAACCTCTCATTCGTCTTTCAGTACTATTTAAACCTGCATTTCACGAACATGGTTATCAGCTTTCCAGAGTAAAGGAGAGAGTTACATTACGTGATAATTGTGCGACACACACACATATATATATAGAGAGAGTCATCGATCGATCCTCAACGTGCTCGATGTTCGTGACAACTCACTATAGTAAGTTTTTTTTGCATCCATACGATTGAGAGCTTGTTTTGGTTATATATATATATATATATATACAATTGTTGATTTTTTTTTATTAGTATATGATTTAATGATTGATGGAGCTTTCTTTTAATAATCTTTGATTTGCCAATGAATTAAACTTTCCGTGGTTAATCTTAGTTTGATTAATATATGATGATTTGTTGTTTTTTTTGTGATTACATTTAGATTTTAAGATGATTTCTTTTACACACACCCAAGATCTTTTGTGATTTATTGTTTTGTTGATAAATTGTTTCATCATTGGTCAAGGCCTCAATGGTGGAATATCTTTTAGTAATTTTTTTTATTCTTTAATGAGCTTTTAAAAATTTGGCAAATGTGAACCCGCGTTAAGGTTTCTTTGTAGCTTTTGGAGCAACACATTAATCCCTTCTGATTCACGCAATCAAATTTAACATGCTTTTCAATTGTAAGCCATGTTTCTTATTATACTTGAGGTCCGTTTATTAACATTTTCATTTTTTTACTTTTATTTTTTTTAAAGGTTAGTTTGGTTAGCGTAAACCAGTTAGAAAGGAAAAGAAACGAAAAATTTTTAAATTATTTTATAATTTGGTTAGCGTGAAATGAAAAGTTTTCAAGAAAGTAATATTCCTGCAACTGATTGATTTTCCTCAAAATGTTTCCTCCATAAAACACACAAAAATTTCAGTTTTCCGTGAAAATTGTATCATTATATGTTAGTTTCCAATTATACCCTTGTCGGTTATTTCTATTCTTTTTTTTTTCAGACTCTCAAAAGGAGCAACTTCTTTTTAATAAATTATGACTCCTAATTATATTATAACTTTCTGACTCGACTCCTAATTAAGTTACAATTTTATAACGTTTTAAATTACGACTCTATATATATGCACGCACATATATTTTTATTCATATTTTTTATTATACTTGTTGCATGATGTATATTACTTAGTATTAAATTTATAAGGGTAATTTTGGCATATAAATCATTTTCTTTTCACTTTCTTGCTAACCAAACTAATGAAACAATATTTTCTCACAATTTTTTTACAAAAAAATCATGCTAACCAAATGCATGATAGAAACATAATTTTCTTTTCTTTCACTTCACTTTCTTTTTCTTTCACTTTCCACCATAAATTTTCGGTTAACCAAACGGACCCTAAAAGTAAAATTTTAGATGAAATAGAAAGTAAAATGATATTTAATAAGTAGATTTTGTTTTTAATATTTTAAAAGTAAAAAACAGAAAATAAGTTTAATAATTTTAATTTTACTTTCCTGTCAGCTTCCTCTCTCTAAAATTGTTTATCTTCCTCTCTCAATTTTTTTTTTTTTTTTTTTTTTTTTTCAATCTGGGTTTGATGTAATAGCTGCTCAATACTTAGCAGGTATTCTATCCAACAACTATAATTTAGAGTCTCCTTTGTTTTTATCTGTTTTTTCATCCGATAAGAATCTGATTACTTATAATAGTTTCAATAAATCCCAAGTCATCCAAGTTGTTCCAACAGCTATGACAAGTAGGGCAAAGAAATTGTGAGTTTCAGAATTCAAGTAACGTACCGAAAAGAAGAGAAGGACTGCACAATGACCCTTCATCCCCTTTGCTTCACGATAAGCAGCATCTAACTTTTTGTTTCTAAGTGTTGTGCTAGCCCAAATGCTGTATTTAATACTTTTGTGAACAATGTCTTCGCTGAAAGACTTGATGATGAAAAATTTCGCATTCTCGTAATTTATGACAAAATCTGGATGCTTGTCTAGATCAAAATGAACCCCAGAGGTAGACGCACTATCTCTGTTAAAAACGGATAATGAGCTCTCTTCAGAAGTGTTCTTGCCCTTTGGCTTTGAAGCCCTAGGTCCACGATTATGATCACTAGAGATACCATATGAATTAGTAGAAAGGCAAATTAATCACTGCCCCTTTCTCGTCTTCCGCCTTTGTCAAGAGTGAGTCGGTTGCCATGATTAGCCCCCCATTTCAGGTTCTTAAGAAATCCATTGATTATACATATATTCACTACTGCTTGCTACGCCCTAACTAAACAACAAGAAATCAAAGCCCTATGAGTACAGAGTATGTGTGTGTGTGTGTGTGTGTATATATATAAGAGAAGGAGTGAGTTTCATACATGGCACAGGGATGGGTTTAGAGAGGAGAGAGATGGTTGTGGGCAGTGGGAGGAGGTGGTAGGAGGCGGCGGCGGGGAGGAGGCGGATGGGCAATGGGAGGATTTTGGGATTTTTTATTTATTTATTTATTTTGGATAAATAGTGCTATAGTAATACTACTACAGTGAGGAAAGTAATTCCTATGTACAGTAGAGAAATCACAAAAAGCATCATTTTTTCACTTTCTTTTTCCTACATTAAATTTGAAAGTACTTTCTAAAAATGAAAAAGTAAAAGTATTTTAATAAACATAATTTTTACTTTTACTTAACATTTTAAAAAATTGACAGTTAAAAATAAAAAATAAAAGCGTTAGTAAATGAATCCTTAATGTTTGAAGCCTTTTACTTTTGACCTCTTTGGCTTTTTTCTTCTATATCCTAGGTACATGTCTATACCATCTAACCATATTCCTTAATGGTCTCACTAATAGATTCCACTAATAAGTCTTTTAATCACTCTTATAATCCATATTAGCTTAAAAGATAAAGTTTTATAGTTTATCATTAAACATTTTTGTTATTATTTTGGCATTCAAATTATTCTAAGGAATGCATAAAATTACATATTTTTATTTTTATTTTTTTTATACGGCAATTAGTTTTTCTTTGCTTAGAAAAAGAAAAATCACAAGCACGACATGCGTTGAAATCCAATCTTTCCACTCTCAGCACTTTACTAGCACCCCCACAGACTAAGATACACTACTAATGCTTCTTTTTTTATATAGAGTCGCGAGCAAAAAATACCCATATTGTATGCATATAGAGTGCATAATCCCCTATACATCCTAAAAAGTCTCAAACATTTAATTTTTGGAGAAAATAAGGACTTGAATGCTGAAAAGACTAAAGCATCCCTCAATAACGGATTAAAAAAAATAAGTAAAAAAATTGATTAAATGTGAAAGAACTAAACTGTCCCTCTTTATATATATATATAATATAGGGTTGTGGGCAAAAAACACCCTTATGGTACGCATATAGAGTATATAACCTCCTCTACATTCTAAATCTCCTTAACATTCAATTTTGGTGCAAACAAGGATATGAATGCTGAAAAGACTAAATTATTCCTCTACAACTGAATAAAAATAGGTAAAAAAAAAAAAAAAAAAAAAAAAAAAAAAAAAAAACTAATTAAATGTGACAGATGTATATATAAGGATATTATCGGAAGAGATAAGGGTATTTTTAAAATTTTATATCTTAAAAATGTCATGTGCTTATATACTCAAAATAAAGGATGGGGGTGTTATTTGCCTAAAATATAAACATTAGGGGGTGTTTTTCTCACTTTGCTCTAATAAAGGCATTATAGGAAGAGATAAGGGTGTTTTCGAAATTTTATATCTTAACAGTGACTTCAAGCCCCTTTTTTGCTCATTTTTCAAACTTAACGGACTTATATACACAACATAAGCCCTTCTTTGCTCATTTTTTAAAATTTAACGGAGTTATATACCCAAAATAAATGATAGGGTATTATTTGCCCAAAATTAAAACATTAAGGTGTTTTTCTCACTTTGCCTTTTATATATACACAACTGGCCTTTCTTGAAGAACAATAATTTGAAGACATATAGTTAATTGATCAAGTGTTGACATATAATTGATATGGAATTGACCTCTCTCTTTTTTCTATTTGATGGCATAATTCTGTATATGAGAAAAAGGAGGGGGGGAAGAGCTTTTTTTGAGGCTTTCCAAGTTGCTTTCCGTAATAATGAAGTTTGTTGTTAGGTACTACTACTGGAGTTATTTCAGGGAAATAGTTTTGATCTTTGTTACACGAACCCTTCAAAAGTAGTGAAGTACCCCATCCAACATGTTATACTCGAACATAGAGTATGTGTCTGACACTTTTCGTTAAACATGCACTTAAAAAAGTATATCATATAATTTTATTTTATTATATTATAGCTTCAAAATGGATAAAAAGCAAATAAAGTAGAAATATTAGAATAAAATGAATGTATAGCAACCAACGGGCTAGCCTAACTGTATCAATCCCTATTTCCTAAAGGGAGGTTGTGGGTTCAAGCCTCAGAAAAAAAAAAAAAAAAAAAAAAAAAATGAATGTATGGTACCAACTAAGAAAAATATATATATGAATGTATAGCAATGTCCTTGTTTTATTTGTAGCATCGCTGAAACTTCTATGTTGCTTTTAAGACGTAGATTTGCCAAATGCATGGGTGAGTACAGCCAGTTGTTTGAGGTGGGTTAAGTAGGTTTCTCCATCAGTTGGTAGCATGGACTCCCATAGTGCTTTGTGCTTCTATCAGATACAATATACCAAAAGTATTTTTGGAACAAATTCTCAGTCATGGATGCAGTTGCAGACAAGTAATTCTTTTTTATTTGACCATTTAATGTTAATCTTATACTAATGCAGTTGTTGTTAAGCAAAGAAATCAAGTGAATAGTGAATGAATAAACTCAAGGACTTTTTATTGAAACTGTTGGGAAATTAAGGACACTGGCCTGGAAAGGTAATTGTTCAAAGAAAACATCAAAGCGCAACCTCGATGGGACTCAGAGAAGAAAAAAGAACTTCCATTCATTTTATATGTTTGATTGTACATCGAGTAAAAGACGAAAAAAGGATTATATGTGTTGGAAATCATATTTATAAGTTGACTCAATGATTGTGGCAGATTTATTGGGTCTTCATTATAGGCTAATGTTTAGGGATTTTATTTTTATTCTGATTTGATTTTATTCTCTTTCCATATTTGTAATTTTCCTCTTGTATATAAAGATAGTCAGGCTCTTAAATTTAGTATGCCAATTTTACTAAGTTACTTTTTGGTATCAGAGCCACAAACCTACGCCTCCCCCCCTCTCTTTCACCGTCTCTTTTGATCTCTCTCTCTATCTCGTCACAGCCCCTTCCTTATTTCTTTTTTCCTTTTCTTCACAGACCCTCTCTCTTCTTCAGGCCGCTGCTGCTACTGTCCTAGGATGAGCCAATC